TCTCATTCTGTCACCTGGGATGGAGTACAGTGGCAGAATCATGGCTCACTATAGCCTCCAACTCATGGTCTCAGTTTATCCCCTGGTCTCAACCTCCCAAATACCTAGGGCTACAGACACCCACCACCTCACCTGGCCAATTTAAAAAATATTTTGTGGAGAAGGGGGTCTTGCTATGTTGCCCAGGCTGGTCTTGAATTTCTAGTTTCAAGTGATCCTCCCGCCTTGGCTCCCAAAGTGCTAGGATTACAGGCATGAGCTGAGACCCCATTTCTTAAAATAAACAAGCAATGTATATCAGCTGCATATTTGAACATGTTATGATAATTTATATATATATATATATGTATATATATATATGTATATGTATAAAATTTTTTGAGACAGAGTCTTGCTCTGTTGTCAGGAGCCAGGCTGGAGTGCAGTGGTGCAATCTCGGCTCACTGCATCTCCCGCCTCCAGGTTTAAATGATTCTCCTGCCTCAGCCTCCTGAGTAGCTGGGACTACACGGGCATGCCACCATGTCCAGCTAATTTTTGTACTTTTTAGTAGAGACAGGGTTTCACCATGTTGGCCAGGATAAGCTCAATCTCTTGACCTTGTGATCCGCCCGCTTCGGATGATAATATTTTTTAAAAATTTGTCCTTTGATTTACATTTACACTGTCATACATGAAATATTTAGGAGAAGGAATTTCCTTGTAAGCTTGTGTGTTAGTTCACTTGCTTTGCCAGAAAGGAATCCCTGAGACTGGGCAGTTTATAAAGAAAGAGATGTTATTTCAATTCACGTTTCTGCAAGCTATAGAATGTCTGCACCATAGCATGGTGCTGACGTCTGGTTCTGTCGAAGCCCCAGGAAGCTTGCAGTCATGGCAGAAGGCAAAGGGGGAACTGTTATAGCACATGAGAGGAGCAAGGGGTCAAGCCATTCACGAGGGGTCTGCCCCCATGACCCAAACACCACCTACTGAGCCCCACCCTCAGCACTGGGAATTATATTTCACTATGAGATTTGGAGGGACAAATGTCCAGACCACATCAGCTTGCTCTCCAGTTTCAATTTTCTGAATCTGAAAACCTGGAAAGTGGTTTGGCTGCGTGTAACAAAAAACTCAGATGATGATGATGATGATTTGACCAAATCATCAGGGCTTTATTTTTGTCAGTAATAAGCCTAGAGGTGAAGAAATTATTGGTGTTCATTCATAAGCTCAAAGATGTCAGGTTAGATGTCTCTTCAGTTTTCTTCATCTTTGCCTTGTGGTTTCGACATGGTAGCGCCTGTCCTTTCTAGTATATTCTGGTGATACTACAGCCACTGAGAGAGAATAACAGCAATATGAAAGGCAGAAAAGGATCTGAGTTTGTTTCGGCATGTTTTCTGTTTTTATTAGCTTCTGAGTTGCTCTTGGACCTAATGCAGTATCTAAGCTTGATTTAATTTGGTAACTTTGAACTGAAAAACAGTTACTCTTCTGTCTGCTCATTAAGGGAAAATATGAATCTCTTTTGATGTTGTCCCTTGAATTTTAAGTTATATCACCTTTTTTGCCTTGTATTTCACGGCCTATGTGTACATGAAATAAACATTCCCTTCTAAAAGCAGGCATTTCATTATGGTTAACGATACATGTATTAAGTTTATAAAAATTAGGAAGATAACATGCAAAATTAAGTCATTGAAGTTTAGAGAGGTAAATATTAAAAATTAGAGGGATACTCTTTGGTGACCCAAGGAGGTCCCATAGGTTTGTTCCTCATAGTGGTTGTAAATGTGAGCCACAGTTTTACAGGTTTAGAAACTAGTGTAACTAGAGGTAGATTATGTTCAGGGATTCTTTGTGGTTCATGCTAACCAGATGAGAGAGACTGATTAATTCACTTGTTCACTTAATACATATTTATTGAGGCCTTGTGTTGCAGGACTTAGTTCTGGGTGTTCAAGAATAAAGGTTTGACTGCATGTGAGAGAGACCAGGGGAAAACGAAACAGTAGCTTAAGCAAGAAAGAAGTCCAGGCTGTTGGGATGACTTGCTCTGCAAGTTTAAGAGTTGCAGAGTTTCTCTGTCTTGTTCTGCTGTCCCTAGGTCTTGCTCGCCCTTGTCTGCATGATTCAAGTTGGCTTGCCACCATGTTTGCTTACCAGACCCCATGGAAGGCTGCTCTGCCTATGGAGTAGCCATACTTTATTCCTTTACTTTCTTTCTTTTTTTTTTTTTTTTTTTTTTTTTTTTTTCTATTGTTTTTTTTTTTTTTTTTTTTTTTTTTTTTTTTTTTTTTTTTTTTTTTTTTTTTTTACTGTTGTCTTTCAAGGATGTTCCTGAATCCTTTACTTTCTTAATAAACTTGCTTTCATGCATGGAAGAGGGAAGAGCTGATAAGGGTACATATTTCCCTTTAAAGGAGCAACCTGGAAGTTGTACACAGCACTTCTGTTGCATTCCATCTGCGGTAACTTGGCAGCATGGCTGCACCCATTTGCAAGGGACACTCAGAAATCCAGATGCCTAGTTAAAAATTGGAGGTTCTATAAGAGAGTGACAAGGGGAGAATGAATTATTTGGTACCTATAAGCAGCTTCTGCCACAGGGTGATAGTGGTAAATTATATAAAGTCCTTGCCATTGTAGCGTTTATAATCTACTAGGAGAAACAGACTATAAACAAAAAACGTAAAACACACACACACACACACACACACACACACACACACACACACAAAGATGGTGAATATAATACATATGTTTCTCTTTGATGGAGCGAGAGAGACATTCATTTTAGGTTATAGTAGTTGCTTGCAGAAAGGATAAACTATGCCTGGACGTAGTGGCTCATGCCTGTAATCCCACCGCTTTGGTGGGAGGCTGAAGGGAGTAGATCACTTGAGTGCAGGAATTCAAGACCAGCCTGGGCAATATGGTGGAACCCAGTATCTACAAAAAATAGAAAAAATTAGATGGGCATGGTGGTGCACACCTGTGGTCCCAGCTACTCAGGAGGCTGAGGTGGGAGGACTGCCTGAGCCCAGGAGGTTGAGGGTGCAGTTTGTGGTGGTGCCACTGCCCTCCACCCTGAGCAACACCGTGAAACCCTGTCTCAAAAACAAAAGAAAAAAAAATACAATAAGGGAAGGAGAGAGGGGGCCGTTTTTTGTTTGTTCAAGGCCATTTTATGTGTGTGGTCTGAATTTAGTTAAGCATCTGGAAATTTCTAGTGTCCTTTGCAAGTAGATGTGTCCATGTTGCCAAATTCGGTTTCTTCTTACAGGCGAATTGAAAGCAAGTTTGATTTCAGAGGTTCCACATGTGTTTGTAATTGTGAGGACAAAGGACTTATTAGGAAGATTAGGGGAGATTTCGGCAAGGATGAGATAAGAATAGAAACCTTAGTGAAGCAAGGGAATGCTACCTAATGGGAGGTCTGAGGGAAAAGCAGATAATACAGTGTGAACATACTGATGTTGGAAAGAGCTGATCCAGTCAAGAAAACCAGCTGAGTGAGCAAAGCACTTAGGCTAAACGGTCTGACCTGGGCAAGGGAACATTTCTTAGGTTTTCTTCTTTCCCCACTATCCTGTAGGCTGTATGAACACAGGGACTTTGTTTTATTTACTACTGTGTGTCCATAGGGTCTAAAACACTTTGATTTGCCTCGTTAAATCATGATTATGCCAGAAAGAATATTGTGCAGAAAGAATCAGAACAGTTTCCATAGTATTTCTTTTTCTTTTTTCTTTTTTTTGAGACGAAGTTTTGCTCTCTTTGCCCAGGCTACAGTGCAATGGGCTGGCGCAATCTCAGCTCACTGCAACCTTTGCCTCCTGGGTTCAAGCGATTCTCCTGCCTTAACCTCCCAAGTAGCTGGGATTACAAACACCCACCGCCATGCCTAACTAATTTTTTATATTTTTAGTAGAGATGGGGTTTCTCCACGTTGGCCAGGCTGGTCTTGAACTCCTGACCTCAGGTGATCCGCCCACCTCAGCCTCCCAAAGTGACGGGATTATAGGCATGAGCTACTGCACCTGGCATTTTCTTTTTTATTTGAGACAGGGTCTCACTCTGTCATCCAGGCTAGAATACCGTGGTACAACTCAGCTCACCGCAGCCTCGTCTTCCTGGGCTCAAGTGATTCGTCTACCTCAGCCCCTCAAGTAGGTGGGACTACAGGTGCCTGCCACCATGCTTGACTAATTTTTGTATTTTTTATAGAGGTGGGGTTTTGCCACATTGTCCAGCCTAGAGACAGGGTTTTTCCATGTTGGTCAGGCTGGTGTTGAGCTCCTGACCTCAGGTGCTCTGCCTGCCTCGGCCTCCCAAAGTGCTGGGATTACAGGCGTGAGCCACCGAGCCCGACCAACATGCAAATTATTGAAAATTAGAAAATGAATAAGGAAAAATAAAAGTGTGATTTCATTTCTATAAAAAGTATTGTATATAAATATATTTTCTTTTAACTTTATGCATATATATTTACTGAAACATAGTAAGTTTGTTCAAATCTTTCATTTTCTTTTTTTTGAAGCAGTCTTGTTACCTAGGCTGGAGTGCAGTGGCATGATCCCAGCTCACTGCAGCCTCCACCTCCCAGGTTCAAGTGATTCTCGTGCCTCAGCTACCCAGGTAGATGGGGTTACGGGCATGCGCCACCATGCTTATCTAATTTTAGTAGTTTTAGTAGAGATGGGGTTTTGCCATGTTGTCCAGGCTGGTTTCAAACTCCTGGGCTCAAACAGTCAGCCCACCTTGGCCTCCCAGAATGCTGGGATTACAGGTGTGAGCCACCATGTCAGGCCTAAATTTTTTTTTTTTCATGCCTTTCTGATCTGGCTGGTACTGGCAGAGATTTTAGTCTCCCACTGTTTTACTCTGGAGTCTCCATTATAATGGTTTTGAAATGTTGATTCAGAATAACCTAAGAGATTTCAATATTCTTCCATAGGAAAATGATTTTTCTCATGGCCCACTCTCACCCCCAGTCCTTGACTCACATAATTGGTACACTCAGTGACATTTTTTAAGACCTTCTCTTTTTAAATTGCATACATTTAGTTATTTTACATTTTTTTACAGATGGGGTCTTGCCGTGTTGACCTAGGCTGTTCTCCAACTCCTGGCCTTACAGCTCCAGCCTACTGTACATATTTAAGATGTATAACATGAAGATTGGATACACATAGTAAAATGATTACTATAGTCAAGCAAATTAACTTGTCCTTACCTTCCATAGTTGTCTTTTTATATGTGTGTGTGGAGGGGGTAAGAGCACCTAGTAATCTACTCTCAGCACATTTTCAATGTGTAATACAATATTATTAAGTATAGTCCTCATGTTGTACATGAGATCTCTAGACTTGCAAGACTTTTTTTTATTTTTTCTGAGGCAGAGTCTTACTCTGTTGCCCAGGCTAGAGTACAAATGGCGTGATCTTGGCTCACTGCAATCTCTGCTGCCCAGCTTCAAACATTTCTCCTGCCTCAACCTCCTGAGTAGCTGGGATTATAGGTGCCCACCACCATGCCCAGCTAATTTTCGTATTTTTAATAGAGACAGGATTTCACCTTGTTGGGAAGGCTGGTCTTGAACTCCTGACCTCAGGTGATCCACCCACCTCAGCCTCCTAAAGTGCTGGGATTACAGGTGTGAGCCACTGTGCCTGGTCTGTTCAGCACTCTTACTCCCTCTCAGTATTGTTGTTTTGTTTCAAAATTGTGTCTTTGGACCCTTCCTTCTAGCAGTAACAATTTTTTAACAATACCGTTCAGTGTGGTTAGTATCACTTCCAAGTTTCTTTTGCTAGTATTAGGTTTCTCCCCATTGTAAGCTGCATGAAGGCAGGGATTTTTACCTTTTGGAACTGCTGTAACTTTAGCATCTGTAACTGTACCTGACACATGGTAGGTACTCAGTATTTGTTGAATGAATAAATCTGAGATAATGAAAGCATGAATGTGAGTAAACACATTTTTAAAAGAGAAAAAGTAACTCTTCCATTTTAAACTCTGGACTTTTATTCATTGTCAGTTTTGTACACTTTTTTCTTGTCAGTATTGGGGCGGACTTATGTAAATTTACTCTGTTAAACAGACATGTGCTCTCCAGCCTGTCTCTAGAGTGTACGGTCATTTTTCCTTTATTTTCAAATACTGTTTCTGTAGTTACAGCAGCGTAATTATCATTCTTTTATTAAATCTTTGTCCTATAAGGAAGTAAATGGAAATATTACTTCCTATAAACAAGGAATTATTAATTTGTATACTTTAAGCCTTTGACCAGTTAAATGCAGCTTCCTGACCCAATATAATGATATTTCTTTTTAGACCTTGGGCTTTCACCCATGGAAACATTAAGCAAATATTAGAAGATAATTTATTCTGAGTTTGAGTGGGGTGACTGACACCTGTAATCCCAGGACTTTGGGAGGCCAGGGCAGGAGGAGGATCACTTGAGGCAAGGTGTTCCAAACCAACCTGGCGAACATAGTGAAACCCCCGTCTCTGCAAAAAATGTAAGAAAACAGCGAAAAAAGAAAATTTATTCTGAGGGATTCATACAAAAAAAAAAAAAAAAAAACCCACAGTATTTGTGAGATTATGTAAACCTTCTTAAAACAGAAGATATTTTCAGTCTTACATGTTTCAGTACCCACAAAATGATGTCCAGTATGTTCTTGGATTACTACACCAAATTCATTGATTCTTAAGATTTTCGTATGTCACACTGATTTGGAAAAGAATATCGTTCTAGGATAAATTTATTCCAAAACTCCCCTCGTCTCTGTTCCTTCCTAGGCAAGGATTTGAGGCAGCATTTGCTCACGTGCTTCTCTGCCACTGCTTTCCACTTAGCAGCATTTCCTAGGTCTCGATGCTGACAAGGGACTGACAGGCAAAAAGTACACGCTAATGATTGACATATTGATATTTGTGGTATGAATTGTAGAGTTGTTTGGGTATCATTCTCAAAGATCCTTTGACCCTATAATCCCAATTTTTGAAATCTCCTGGGAAAACAACTATTAAGTGAAAAAACTCTCAGCAGTTTTTACTAAAATGTTTGAGGTGATTCTCTAAAATAGCATATACGCCTATAATTGAGATTAATATGTTTGAAAATGTTCCAGAAATGATCTTGAAGAAAACAAAGTGAAATATACATACCAATTACATTCATTAAAAAGAAGTGTATTTGGCTGAGTGCAGTGGCTCACACCTGTAATGCCAGCATTTTGGGAGGTTGAGATGGGTGGCTCACCTGAGGTCTGGAGTTCGAGACTGGCCTGGCCAACATGGTGAAACCTTATCTCTGTATAAAAGAATACAAAAAATTGGCCTGACGTGGTGGCGCATGCCAGTAATCCCAGTTACTCTGGAGGCTAAGGCAGGAGAACCACCTAGTAGGTGGAGGTTGCAGTGAGCTGAAATTGCACTATTGTGCTCCAGCCTGGGCAACAAGAGCAAAACTGCTTCTCAAAAAAAAAAAAAAAAAAAAAAAAAAAAAATTTTTAAAAAAAAAAAAAAAAAAAAAAAAATGTTTCAAAAAAAAAAAAAAAAAAAAAAAAAAAAGCTATTTGTTGATGGAGGTGACAAGAGAATAGAGTTATGTGACTTGTTGATCTTAAGTTTGTTGAATCCTTTTCAGGTACAGATGTTTAAACACACATTAAAAATTTAGCCATTACTGGGTGTGGTGGGTCACACCTGTAATTCCAGCACTTAGGTGGATGGGTCACTTGAGGTCAAGGGTTTGAGGCCGGCCTAGCCAACATGTTGATATCCCATCTCTACTAAAAATAGAAAAACCAGCCAGGTGTGGTGGTGTGTAGTAATCCCAAATACTTGGCAGGTTGAGGCGGGAGAATCACTTGAACTCAGGAGGTGGAGGTTGCACTGAGCCAAGACCACACCACTGTACTCCAGCCTGGGCAACAGAGTGAGACTGTCTAAGAAAAGAAAAGAAAAATTAAGCCATTATAACAAATAACTGCATAAAAGAGAAATGAGTTTATTTAAATTTGAGAAGTGCTTGAAATGAACAGTATAGTTATACATGCATATTCAAAGTAAATAAAAAGAATGTATATGTACTGAAAACTCTAGATGTCATATTTGGGCAAAAATCTAGTATTTTTAGTGAAAGACAACAGTCTTTGAACAACTACGGAAACATCGGTCACCAAGTAGAAATTGTTTCTAACAAATGTGTAACTTTACTCTTGCAGGCCAAAGAGTGTGGCCAGATGCAGAATAAGTGGCTGATGATAAACATTCAAAACGTACAAGACTTTGCATGTCAGTGCCTCAACCGTGATGTGTGGAGCAATGAAGCTGTGAAGAATATTATCCGGGAACATTTCATTTTCTGGCAGGTGAGAAGGAGGGCTCATCAGAAGTTTTGTAGAATTTTACTTTTGTAGTGTGGGATGTTGAGGGAAAGGAATTGAGTTATAATGCATTAAGACATTTTTAAAAAAGGTAAAACTGGCTGGGAGGCGGTAGCTCACGCCTATTATCCCAGCACTTTGGGAGGCCGAGGTGGGTGGATCACCTGAGGTCAGGAGTTTGAGACCAGCCTGGCCAACATGGTGAAACCACGTTTCTACTAAAAATACAAAAAATTAGCCTGGTGTGGTGGCAGGAGCCTGCAGTCTCAGCTACTCGGGAGGCTGAGGCAGGAGAGTTGCTTGAACCAGGATAGTGGAGGTTGTAGTGAGCCAAGATTGCGCCATTGCACTCTAGCCTGGGTGACAGAATGAGACTCTGTCTCAAAACAAAAAACAAAAAAACTGTACTGTTCAGTAGAAATACAGTGTAAGTTGTACACATAATTTAAATTTTTCTAGTAGCCACATTAAAAAAGATTAATCAAAACAGGCGAAATTAATTATATATTTGGTTAAATCAATATATCTATATAACTAATACAAAAATGAGATTTTTGCTTTTATTTTCTTTGGTGTTAAGTCTTTGAGATACAGTTTGTATTTTATACTTACATCCCTTCTGCATTTGGAGTAGCCAGATTTCAAGTGCTTCAGTAGCCACTTCTGGGTTGTGGTTGCTGTATTGGACAGTGCAGATATAGAAGATCTTGGAGTAATTGAAAGCATTTGGCTAAGACTTAGATTTAAGCTTGTGTTTGATACTTTTTAACTGTGTGTTCTTAGATAGGTCACTTTAGTCTTCCCAGCTAATGAGATAAGGTTAGAGACCTTGTACCATTTTTCTCCCACTGTGAGACAGGGTTTTGCTCTGTCAGCCAGGCTGCAATGCAGTGGCAAGAACATGGCTCATTCTTGACCTCCTGGGCTCAAGTGATCCTCCCATCTCAGTCTCTTGGGTAGTTGGGACCACAGACATGCACCACCATGACCAGATAATTTTTTTTATTTTTCATAGAGATGAGGTCTTGCCATAGTTGCCCAGGCTCGTCTTGAACTCAGGGGCCCAAGCCACTCTGGGCTTCCCAGAGTTCTGGGATTACAGGCATGGATCACCATGCCCAGCTCAATTTTTTCTTTTGTGAAAAGTTACAGAAAATGAAAACTTGAATGAACTTAATTTTTTCCCCTACTATAAGATATGCTATTAATGTTATTAATTTGCCTGTTTATATTTTACAGCCCCCTAAATTTAATGTAATTTTAATGATAATTCCTTGTATTTTATTCAACAAATATTGATTGCCACAGCTCTTTGCTTAGCACTGTGCTAGACCCTTGAGCTTATATGCCCAGCTAATTTTTGTATTTTTAGTAGAGATGGGGTTTCACCATGTTGACCAGGATGGTCTTGATCTCTTGACCTGGTGATCTGCCCACCTCGGCCTCCCAAAGTGCTTTCTTTCTAAATAAATAGACAGGATCTTGCTCTGTCACCCAGGCCAGAATGCAGTGGTGCAATCATAGCCCACTGCAGCCTCTTAACTCCTAGGCTCAAGGGATCTTCCCACCTCAGTCTCCTGAGTTGTTAGGACTACAGGTGCACACCATTACACCTGGCTAATTAAAAATACAAAACAAAACAAAACAACTTCTTGTAGAGATAGGATCTTACTATGTTGACCAGGCTGGTCTCAAACTTCTGGCCTCAAGCTGTCCTCTGCCTCAGCCTCCCAAAGTGCTAGGGTTATAGATGTGAGCCATCATTCAGAGCCAGAATCTTAATATATTGTGATTTATTAAGATGTATATGGTTGAGAGTTATTAATGATAAAGGTTGACAGATAACTTGAGCAGGAAGAAGAATACTTCATCTGAACTGGGGAAAAAAGAGGAATGGATCGATATGTTTATGGTGTTTCCAGAAGGGGCTGAAAGCAGGAAGTTGAAGGAGTTCCCACCAGATGACGTTCATTATCTCTTTAGTTTAGGAGTAAGATCTTAACATATATACCAGAGGCATATTTGGAGAGCTAATTGATGTTAGTATATACCAAGGTTACAGTTGGTTTTTTTCTTAGAGGCTGACTTTTTTTTTTTTTAATGTATCAATGATTTTACAGGTTTATCATGACAGTGAGGAAGGTCAGAGATACATACAGTTTTATAAGTTAGGGGATTTCCCCTATGTTTCCATATTGGACCCACGAACAGGTAAGATTTATATCAGCATGCAGCTTTTAACCTACCACTTGTCTTTTAGTTACCTAAATGATTGATCTTTAATATTTGACTGGATCTGGCTTCAGAATTGTAGTAATTTAGGTGAAGTTTTCCTGATTTAAACATCTGTTGATGTATTTATTTAGGACATTTTTTTCTGGCAGCATTGGAAAATGGTAGTGTTTTGTGCTTGTGTGTTTCTGCTCTTTTGAAGAATAACTGATACGTTCATCTTACCGTTTTTAAGGGATTTCCACCCCCCCAACCCCCCGGAGACGGAGTCTTGCTCTGTCATCCAGGCTGGAGTACAATGGCATGATCTTGGCTCACTGCAACCTCCACCTTCCAGGTTCAAGCAATTCTCCTGCCTCGGCCTCCTGAGTAGCTAGTATTACAGACGTCTGCCACCATGCTCAGCTAATTTTTTGTACTTTTAGTAGAGACGGGGTTTCACCATGTTTCCCAGGCTGGTCTTGAACTTCTGACCTCGTGATCCATAGCCTCGGCCTTCCAAAGTGCTGGAATTACAGGTGTGAGCCACCACGCCCGGCCTTAAGGGATTTTTTTTTAACGTTTTTTTTTTTTTTGAGACGGAGTTTCGCTCTTGTTACCCAGGCTGGAGTGCAATGGCACGATCTCAGCTCACCGCAACCTCCGTCTGCTGGGTTCAAGCAATTCTCCTGCCTCAGCCTC